TAGAACCGTGCAAATATCCGTCCTCTGGCGTTCCCCTCTTCTTATCGGTCGAGCCAGTGATTTGAATAAAACACAGTGTGTTTTTCCAGGGCTACATTTTCTCCAGTGGCTTTAAATGTGAGAGATGGGTGTTGTAAAGTGAAGTGTTTATTATTAATGTGCCTTGTTAAGTTGTTGTTGCATTAGAGGGAAAAAATTGGATCCTCTATTATTTATGCGTTTCTTGCTGGTAATATCTTGGCCCAGGCTCTCACACACACACACTTTCTGTGCACTACACACTAATTTCTTCTTGTTTTTCTCTTCTGTCTCTTTTTCTTCTTTTCACCTTTCTTCTTTCTACTTTCTCTTCTCCTCGGGGCTGGGTATTGATAGAATGAGGTGTTCCCTGAGCCCCTCTTCACCTGGACGCGGGTAGGGGGCCACCTGCTGGACGGCAGCATCGAGAGAGAGGGGAGGGAGCTCATTCTGGAGAGAGTGCCGGCCACGCTCAATGGTTCCATGTACCGCTGCACGGCTCAGAATCCTTTGGGTTCCACGGACACGCACACTCGCCTCATAGTCTTTGGTATGTATGTATGTATGTATGAATGTATGTATGAATGTATGAATGGATGAATGGATGAATGCATCCCAACATGCTGCAGCCCAGCATTCATGTGTCCATCACTCAGTTAGGGCTAAACTTACATTCCACTCCAGTGTGATTAATTATTCAAAAGATTATGAACATGAAAAAAAAATGTGAGCGTATAACTAACCAGAACACTTACATAATTACATGGTTAGCTTCTGTATCTTGGAGCAATGCTCCAGAGAGTCGTGTGACCGCTCCCCGATATCAATCATTAATGAACCTAACCGCCTGATTAATTGGCTCAACAACACTTTCCTTTTAAGGCAGCACTTAGTGAAGATAACCATTCTCTCACGAGGGGTTTAGAAACAAGTCCATCAGCAGCAGGTCCTGGTTTGAACATGAGCTGCTAACGGTAGCATCAAAGTCCTGTGAAGAGATCAAAGAACCTTTGTGGTTGTCAGCTCTTTGTTGTATGGCCATAACAAGGTAACATGTTCGCTGCAACCTGGATGCTGTGCGTTTACAGGTGTTAATGGGAACGCTGTCTGGTCTGTGCTTCTGAGCTGCTTTCATGTCTATGTGTCCACTCTGGAGTAATTCAACAAATAGAATTCGATTTAGGCCCCAAATTCTTAAATTAACATTAGCAGAAAATGGTGACCCCCACCAAGGACCCCAGAGGCTTTGTTAGGACATATGAAGCTTTGAATTGGGAGATGGGCCTCCATTCAAGGGGCAAAAAAGAACTGCACACCTTTCCCCCCATCCCGCCCCAAGTCACACAACTCCTGTATATTCAATATACACACTGTCACAGTATCAGTTATTTATCACACAAATGCACAAAATTCCATTTATACTATGTTTTTGACAAAAAAATACATGTTCCATCACCACTCCATGAAAATTCAAATTTTAAATATTTACTGTAATACTGTAAGTTCGGTTTTCTGCAGTACTGCAGTCCTCAGTCCAACCCCACTTTATCTGAGACAAATCTTCTAATGTATGTTAGTGAGTTTGTTTTATTAAGATTATGGGATTCTGCTCCAGGGCCCCCTAGGGGAGAATAAATTCCATGCTTCAGATACTGTATGTATTACTATCACTTTAATCACAGTTGTGTGACATCAGATTACATCTTCATTTCTTATGCAAAGTCCTTAGATAAAGACGTTTGTACAAAAACAGGGTGTAATGAATCCTAAAGGAGTAGATAATCAAAAGAACACGTCAATATTAAACTTAAAAATCAAACTAAAATATACACTTAACGCTTTCTATCTATCTATCTATCTATCTATCTATGTATCTATCTATTAATTAAATATGAAATTTTGTCTTTTATCAGGATTTTCTTTATGTAAGGTTATTCATCCATTTTATAGCCAGTGTGTGTTATGTGTTAAAGTTAGTACAATATATATATTGAGTAAGTAAACACGGCCCTCATTAAACAAAGGTTTACTAAGGCCAATATTGTTGCAACAGTTTTTCTTTTCTTTTTTTACACCACAAAATCTCCCACAAATCCCTTGTGGTTACTGCTTTCCAAACACCAGGGAAGGGTTAGAGAAATATATTTAATACGCACTAGGCCTTGGTGTGTGTTTTCATGTGTCTTCACCGCCGCCCTGCAGCGGCCTTTCATCATTAATCACATAGGATACTGTTTTACGCTTGACTGTTGAACAGAACACTTTGTACCAGAATATTTCATTGTGAATATCCAGTGGATGACAATATTTTAAATGACTGTGTGTGTGTCTAGTAATATTCACCACTAAATGTGAAGCTGCCGCTTTAAGGAGGTGTTTCCTCTGTAGCCATTTTAATAGGAGGGACTCATGTCTGTTTAACACCGCGATGCACCCTTAGGTGTCTCCTTGCTATTAAGGCCCATCTGTCATCTCCTACCTCCTTGTAGATTCCTTGCACTCTTTGTGAAAATGGTGATGAAGCGACCTTGATACTGTCTCACCGTGGCCTTGACATGAGACTCCCCTCTATCTGCCAGGGGTGGGGATGAAGCAGCAGTGTAAGCTGCAGCTGCTGTTCATTACACATCGTCAGGAAGAATAGAGTCTTAATGAGAGCTTGGTAAAGACGCAGCCACGAGCAGCGCTGAGGCTGTGACGCTGTTCATCTTTGAGCTCCCTTCAGCTGTGTTTGGAGTTATTGTGAAATAAGTCAGCAGCTACAGTCGGAGATCAGATGCCGTCACTTCTCGTGCACACTTACATCACGCACATTCAGAAACACGCAGATACGTGTGACTATGCAAACATCTGAAGGACATTCGGGCAAATACCACTGTGCAAATGCAAAGTACATACAAAAGTTTCCCCTCTGTTCCCAGATCAGCTGCTATGGTAATGGTTGCTGTGAGACCTGGGAAGAGACCAGTGAGACCTGAAAAGTTTCCCGTAGTTGCTTTTGTTTCTTCAACACACGTCAAGACCGATGTCTGAAAATAGCTCACACAGTTGAATTAAGGCTTGTTGCTAATTCTCTGCAAAGCTTCCTGCTTGGTCGTCTGCAATTACTTTATCCCTCCGAGGAGTTTTAGATAGAAACACACTGTCAGTGTGTGTGTTGCAGACTAGACGTCAGCACAATGTAATAAAGACGGGGTCCTCTTCTCCAAACTCCTGTTCCTAAAATTTGCTGGCCCTCATTCTAGTGGCCTGGTCTCCCTGTTTCTTAAGAGACCTGGCTGTAATTATGTTGTGTTTTTTTTCTCACATTGCTGCCCAGGCCTGTGAGCTGTGTGCTGAAGCTGTCACCGTGTGTGTCCAAGTTTAGTAAATGGACGACGCACGCACAACATAAGTCTCTGCTGCACAACATTTACGGGACACTAAATTCTGAATCCCAAATTAACATGCATCTCTGCAGCTCCTCACTCACTGCTGCCATAAAAATTGAGGCAACTCAGATAAATAAGTTTTATTTTCACCTCTAATTGTCATTTAATGACATTCGTGCCGCACTGGCTCATGGGACTGTCATAAGCACGAATCATTTGCTACGTGCACAGAAAAACAACCGAGTCAGCCAGGCAAAAGGGACAGTGTGGAATCAGTACTAATGGTTGGGCCACAAAGCATGTCAACATGTCCCAAAACAAGTCAACAAGGGGCACATTAATGTAATCAAGTGTGCTTTTCACGCACAGACTGGATCCATTAGAGTGGATGAAATGCTACGATGTAACCATGGTGTTTGGAAGTCAATGTCTTGAAGGTTAGTTAATTGTGGACACCGGATTTTCTTCATAGACGCCTGCGGGTAAAGAGTTCATGAAGAGACAAAAACAAGTGGAACAAATGGATTAAATGACAAAAAAGAAAGAAATCTCTCATCTACATTCTGGCATTACTAACTAATTTAAAAGTTTGTTTTTAATAGCTGTCCACTGACCTGGAATTATCTCCTAAAATAAATGGCCATACATGACAAATATAAATTCTCATTTGCATTTCGAAGGCAACCAAAGTATTTACATGTTCACAGACTGGGAAATGAATACAAGCAAATTATGTCTTTTTCATGGAAATGAGTAGGATAAGGTTATGGTAGGTTAACTATCAAAACATGCATTGGATTCAGATTTTCTTATAACAGAATTTTCATAGAAAATACTGTAAACTTCTATCAAACATAAATCACTAAGGGTCACTATAGTTTGAAAAATCTGTTCTGCTGATGGACAGTCGTACTTTGTTACATTCAGATAAAATCAGACTCATTACAGTACTTGCGCTGATCAGACATTCTGACTGCGCTCTCCCTCCTCTTGGACAGACACAGTGGTGCAGATGTTACATTAAAAATCTGGAACCTTTTACCTCTAACAATAGAACTGTCTCCACAGATCGATGGTTATTTTTGGCCAGGTCTAATATTTATTGAGTGATACTCGGAGTGCAGATCGAAGGGAGACGGATGCTTCTTTACAGTGGCTACTGCATATTATTGACACCTGCATTCTTCATTGTTAAAGAGGAGGCTCAGATTATAATCACATTGTTTTCCTTTATTATTGATACCATATGGCTCGCTGATATAGTGTTAACGTTATTCATGTTGTCTTTATAATGGGCTGTTGAATTATTTAATCTCATTAATTGCATAGACGAATCCAGATTATTCATGAATAATCGAGAGGAATAAGCATTCCATAATATGATGATAAATCCTTTTATATTATTTTGGCCTGTAGATGTGTCGAGTTGTGTCTCACCTATTTTTTATTTGTGACAAATCCAAAAGATGGAATTATTATTATGAAAAAGTAAAACAAAAGCATTTCCTTGATAGAGTTAAATCTTGAGTACATCTTGTATGATGCTTTGTGAGTTGCTTTGAAAGCTTGGGTGAAGTCCTATTTTCTCAGCGATATTATTCAGTCTACAGTTCTGTACAATCCATTTGACAATCGTGTCAGCCGTGAACTCACTGACTGTTCTGTCCTCGGTCCAGCTGGTCTGACCTGAAGTTGAACAAACACATGGAATTTTAAGCCTGAGGTGCTTTGGTGAAACCAAAACTTTTTTCCACACTGTGTTTAAATGTCAACGTGTGAATAAGCATTCTTCATATAAAAATGATTTAAAAATTAAAATCTAATTAATTTCACACTCAGTCATCGTAATTAACAACCCCAATCTTTAGTATTTTTTTATAGGTAATACTAAGCTTATCAGCCTAGTACTTGTTGAACTACACATATTAGAAAAGGGAACTATAAGTCAACACTGATTATTGACTTAATTAAAACTGTGGCTTTATTTTCACTACAGGGATTCACTTCGTAATGGAAGACTGAGATGAAGTTTTCTTTTCCGCATTCCTGTTGCTGCAGAGTTTTGAAATTGTTTCTTCTTTCACACAGTACTGTTTGATCGACTCATCCTCGATTTTTTTCTATCTCTTTGCAGAAAATCCAAGCATGATGAAAACCACACAAAACCAGAACAGTAAGTATTTTAACCACCCGAGCAGGGAACAGACTGTGGACGTCTATGCTGTAATTTTGATGCATCTCATGTTTTCCTTGCTCGATCACTTCTATGTGCTGTTTGAGGAGACACTATTGGCAGTGTGATAACATATTGTGACACTCAAGTCTGTTCCATCTGGAAAAATATTTTTTTTTTTTTGTAGAAATCTGCCACAATCAGAAAGGCAATTTCTTCGGGAGCCTGTGGTGTTTTTTTTTTAACATTCAAAGCACTGACAGGTGGATGTTTCTCATTCGGTCCTGGATGCTTTGCCCCAGATAGTCTGTGTGACAGTCAGACGCGATTCGTCTTTGTCAGTGTCGAGAAACAGCGAGCAACAAGCCTCTCCCAGTGACTAACGTGTCCTGTCACTTCAGTTTGAGTGGGAGATTATTGGCATTTCAAATCTGCAGTGTCTTTTATATGCAGCTCCTGGGATTATCATATGTAAAGCCTAGGGAGTGCCAGGAAATGGCCGGGAGCGGTGACAACAACCTTTCGATCTTTGCCTTGTCAGTGGTCCTCTGCCCTGTATCTCACTGCAGTACACACAGCATCCTATAGGGTTTATTTTTTTCTTTTGCCTTTGAGCACACCTTGCAGATGATTTGCAGACGATTCAACACTTTAGCTTTATGAGCAGAATAGAATAGATTAGATTGGCCTTTATTGGCAAATGGAAAAAGATAACAAAACACAGCAGTACACGGCAACTTTACATTGGTGGCTCCAGTACAGATCTCTAAAAGTAACACAGATGCCAGAAAAGTGAATCTAAAATTAGATTATATCAGATTAGATCAAACATTATTGATCTCACGCTACTGGCATGGTACAACGATATATAAAATTGAATCCCAGAAATTATTTCATATTTACATTAAAAATTCAGTTTTCTAATGTTATAACATAAAACTGTTATTTCTAGCGCAATGAACCTAAGACCTGACCAATCAAGCTTGAATTTAGAATACAAAAGACAACAGTAGTAGCTTTTAACATGGAGTGCATTGACCAGGATGAGTTTGTTAAAGTGCAGTCATGTAGAGCAGACTGCCAGCCCATTTGGACAGCACTAAGCCTGGAATTGCAAACAAAGCTGTTAAAGTCTATGTACGGGCAGTGTTCAACAGAAAAACTGTACAAACATAGTTGTTCAGAGGTGGCTCGTGGTGGTAGCCTAGCTTTTTTTTATTAGCTCAGATGATTCCAGGTCTTTATTTGGAGAAAATCCTCAGTGTTGTTCTGTGAAATATATCTTTGCAGTGTGCAATAAGGGTAAATCGTATCTCCTATACCATGAAGAGAAAAAATCAATAAACTACCTATACTGTAATGTGTTTTTGACAGTGAACTGATGTTGATGGGTAACTGGGAAATGTAATGCAATGCTATAATTGGATGGTATATGGTCCCTGGTGCATATGTGTGATGGCATGTGTGTCCAGCTTTCCAAGCAGATGGTAAGCGGCGCTGTCGTAAAGATGAACAATCCCGGTCAGGCGGGATTTGAACAGCCTTTTAGTTTGACATGGACTCATTATTTTTTTTCTTTCTATCTTCGGCATTATTTTTCCGCTTGTTTGTCCCACTGCCATTTCCCATATTCAGGACAGCAGTTCCCATGGTTTCTTCCTCCGTTGGGCAAAACAAAACATACAAATGCTATGGAAAGTTCAGGCGAAGGTGTGTCACAGCAAGGACAGAATCAGACCGGCAGTCATGCACAGATATGCCCTGCATGCAAGTCAAATTGGGGAGCAGCCCAGCTCCTACTAGTACCGCATGCACGCCCATTTACAAATGGGAAAGACCACATTTGTCAGTCGTCAGGGCCACAGCTAGAAAACCGCACAACCGCACACCTCCCACCGGCAGCCAGGTTCATTCATCTTTGTCAGATTTCCAATCACTCAGACAAATGGTCAAGGTGCACGGTATGGCAATGAGTTGGATTTAGAAGATGAGTTAAGATGAGGACAAAATTGGTCTGGGATTTTTTTTTTCCAACTCATTTTGAAAATGATGTGTCCAAAAAAAATTGGGGGTCATCACCTTATTTTGAGAAATGCTTATAATACCCAGGCTGAGACACACATGTGGACAAAAACTACAACTACAGTACTAAATCTGCAGTACCAGAGAGGAAGTGCTTAACATATTTAATGTTTGTTCAATTCATCAAATACATGATATAGCAATAGTAGGTAGTAGACATATGACAGTAGAGCTGCCATATGATTGAAATCTTGTTAATTACAAGGCAGTAGTGGATTAATCACAATTAACCATGAACCATTTCTGGTTCTGCATATCACTGGACCAGAAGGACTGCTGGTAGATCTGTGTGTGTTTTAATATATGACTGAGCCAAATGATGGAATTATTCATATAGAAAATATCAGTGTTGTATTTGTAGAGGAGTTTCAAATAGTGTCTCAGAGTGACTGTATCTGCTCTTGACATTATGAAAAAATACTTATATGTCAAGCCAGAAGGACATCATGTTACTTAATCTTCACGGTCTTTATATTTTAGTAAAATCAATTGATACAATGTAGTTTTTAATATCCCTATTAATTAACACAAAAAGATAAATATTGAACGATTACTGTACCTTACACATGACTATTTATAAAATGATTATTATTGTTGTTGTTATTATTATTATTATATGAACAGATACACACCATCTGTTACAGTTTTTTTCCTGATAAAAACCCTCTGACCCTCTACAGCAGGGGTGTCAAACTCAGTTTCACAGTAGGCCAAAATAAAAACTGGGATGAAGTCTCTGGTCAAACCTAATATTTATTGAAAAAATGACTGGGAATGTGCATGTTTTCCCTTCTCTCCAGATAAGTAATGTTGAATTTGTTTGTATGGAAACTAACTGTAGTTTTGTGTAACCATTAAATCTGGAACAGTCAAAGCTTAATATTATTGTATAAACGTATAAGAAATTACATTTAAAATAAGACACACGTCAGTGGTATTTGTTTCTTAACATCTCTCTAGCCTTTTGAGTTGCTTTTATATGTAAATATTTTTTGTTATATAAGTTTGCGCTATATCATGGTGCATACATTATATATATACTGGCAGGCCAGCTCTAATACGTATTTGCTATAATCTCACGGGACAAATATAATCTCACCACGGCCACATTTGGCCCACGAGCCTGACTTTGACACCTGTGCTCTACAGCCATGTAGTCATCCACCATAATTAGCTGTTTGATTTTCAGCTGGCATTCAGGGCCAACACACCTGAGGTAGAGTCATCCTTTATTAAAAAGAGCATGTTGCCACTGAAATTTAAAAACCATTTGCCTAAAAAAAGATCAACTTGGCAGAGTTACATTTGGTTTGAGCCAAAAACCGGCAAACAGATGGCAGGGTGAGGGCAGCTATGACTAGAATGGACAGGGACCTGAGATGATGATCCCACAGATGGACCGGTCCATTACAGAATAATAAGACCTACTTACTGAGAACTCCATTTGTTGTGTAAGTTTGTTGATGGCGTGTTATGAAAGAAAATGTCATGTCATATTGTACTTAATAAAAACATATCTGACATGTGACCTGTCAGGGTGACTTAGACATTATATCATGCCAGATCAAATATTTGATCTAATGTGAGTCGAGCCACACCCAGGTCTTTTTCAGGATGTTCAGACTGCAGACAAATTGTTAGTAATATCAGGCACAACTGTGGCCCTTCGCTGCTTTCCTATTCCACCCCCACTTCAAACTCCAAAGGAAAACAGTACAGCAGCAAAACACTGCTGTCTCTGCTGAGCTCTTGTCTATAATCCAGTGGCCCTGCTGTGCATTTCAAAACAAGCAGAAAAAACAGAAGAAAAAAACAGATAAAAGGAAGCATCAGCGCTATTTGATCTAAAGATTCTTCAAATACTGAGAAGAAAGTGTCTCTTTGTGTTTGACTAAACTGCACCAAAGTCTCTGTGGTGACTTTGGTTCAGTCTCTTTTGTCGTGGCAGGACTGCAGTGTATATTATCAAACTTATTCTAATGGTGATTCCTCAGAACAGAAGCAGAGAACAACCTCCATCATCTCACTGCTCCTGTGGACACCTGTCGCAGCTGCAGTGAAATTTGACGCAGGCGCTGGGTTTTTTGGATAAATATCAAAAATGTACATCCTTAAAAGGGGTGAATAGTGAAATATGTAAAATATTAAAATCTTTTTATTTTGCACTTGTTAACAGGAGCATCAAAGAAGAAAAAAGTTTGAACATTTTATATTAAACTGACACTGTTGACACATTAGACAATACAACAACAAAACTGGGTCAAATATTTTAGAAATATTAATAAATATAAATAAATGTTAATTCAACAAGTTAAACAGAAAGTGAACAGAGCTTTCACACCAATAATACATATTAATTTAAATCACTGCCAATAAACAATGTACAACTGAAACAGTAAAGAACTATTTCCAAGGTTAAACAAACAATTTTGCTTCAATTAGTCTCACTAAAGAAGTGACTTGTCGAGGTGTAAAGTCCACATCTGTCCGCTGTCGTCAAACACAGTAATAGACCTTCGTGTATTCAGAGCTCAGCCTCATATTCAGGTGTTTTTCAGTAAATGCTTTGTATTATAACAGAACCAAACTGAACAGAACCGCAGTAAGAAAAGACACAACACTGGCTGACCAGCTGGTTAGGGTGAAAAGCCATTGGGTTGTTGACGTCTTGTCGTCGGACATTTGTTTTCCCCTATTAATTAGTATTCACAAAGATCACAGAGTAGTTTAATTACTGCATGGATCAATTTTTGAAAATGTGAACAAAGCTAAGAAGTTAAGAAACAGACGCAGATTTTTGAAAAGAAAATTGTCCAGTGTCTCATATTAAGATTGCATTCATTTTATTTGAAAAGGCTGAAAATGTGAAATCATGTACTGTAACACTCCTAAGAAATATGACATGATCTATATGAAGAAAAGACTTGAGACATATCTGTCTGATTCACCGTCTCTTTGTTACGTGTAGATGGAGCCTGTCGGAAGGACGTGATCGGACTAACGTGGATGGCTCTCATCCTCACAGTCACAGTGGAACTGACGTGAAACAGCTCATCCGAGATCCTCTCTATTTCTCTTGCTCTCTCCCTCCCTCTCTCTCTATCTCTGTTTGTCTCTGTCTTACACGCACACGTGGACACTCAATTCCTCTCTTCGTTCACAACGTCTCTATAGCCACACAAGAAAGAAAGAAACAAACCTTCTCCAGTCATCAGCTAACCCTTCATGCGTCAGTCGATCAGGAACCAGCACCACCACTGGATGGCGCTCCCTGTTTTTTTGTATTAAAATATAGCCGAGATAAATGATATCAGAAGAGAAAACACGATGGACGTTACAACAGCCCCCTCCTGTACAGCCCGACCCACCTTCACCTTCTTTCTATACCTTGTTTCACGTCTGCCTGTCGATCAATAAAACCAGTCCATTAGAAACTGGGAGGAAGAAAATAAGAATTTCATTTTTATGAGTGAAAATGTCCAATGTGACACTGGCCGAGGCTGCGGTAACATATCAACTACACTTTGTCGGTCACACGTTCAGAAAACCCACCAGACTACAAGTTGCTTAAAACAAACAAACAACAAAAGAAAAACACAGGAGAACAAATACAGATGCTCGGCTGTCTGTAGACAGTTTTTCCTTTTTTTTTTTTTAAATATACAGTTTTTTCGTGATGGTCTGGAATGTACAAATGGATTTGAAAGAATTGAGAATCTAAGAGAAAAAAAAGCTCTTTTTTGAGTGTATTTTGTGTACATCAGTGTAAATATTCAAATGATTTAAAGAGGCTATATGGGGTACGGTGAGGAGTGGTTACTGAAATGGCCGTAGTTCACCTCACGTCACCTTCGTTTGTACGTCGCTCATCACGTTTAAAAGCTTCTTTGCGAAAATAATTGGAAAAATATTTTTTAAAAAGTCTTTATGTTCCTCATGTGTGCTCTTTTTTTATTAATATGACAGAACTTCACGGTGAGGTCAAAAAAGTCTAACATACTGTATGTCTGCTTTTTTGGGGGTGGTGCATGTGATGTTCAAGGGTGATTTTTATTCCTCCTTTTGCTGTGTTGCAACTACAGTGCTCCCTATTGCCACTGGCCTGTAACCCAGTTATTTACATGTGACATACTATCTTGAGTGAACTACATTGTGTACAATACGTAACTCCTATCCATGTATTTCCAGTACAATGGAATCATTTTTAGCCGTCATACCATGGAGGAGCCCCCCTGGGCCTGTGTGTGTGTACAATGGGGTTTGTTGCATTTGTTTCATTTCACCTGTATTAAAATGGAGAGATGATAAAACTCAACAAGCCTTGTCTGAACTGAAGACTCTGCTTGTCTGACATGTTTGCATGATTCCAGCAGGTTTTTGTCAAGTATGCAGGTAATGTTACAGACAATATAGATCTGTTTAGTTTTGTCCATCCCTGGTCATCTGACATTCCTTCATTCATTTCTACGCCTTTACCTTTTTTTCAAGGTCATGGAGAGAGCTGGAGTCCAACAGAGCATCGATGTCACAGGGTGAGTGCAGTATTACACTCTGGAAGGTTTCCACACTACCACAGTGCCACATAGACATGTAACCATTCACACCCACCCTTTAATGTATTAGACTGAATTCACACTGTTGACAAAATTGGCCCAAATGCAATTCAGCTCACAAAACATGTCTCATCTGACTGTTTTTTTTTTTTTTGACTGTGTGAACATAATTTGGGTATTTTCAAATCTGACCCACGCACTGACATACATGCTCCTAAATTGGATTCATATCCAATTCATCTGTCATTCAAGTGACATCACAATTCTGTGACAGAACGACGCGTGAAGACGCCATTTAAGGACCTAGTCAGTTGAAAGGACAGGATTGTTTGAGATACTTTCACTAACTGGGGTTTGTTCTCCGGAGGTTCTGCAGGGCAAAAACTTGGAAAGTGGCCTCCAACAGCCCCAGCCACTGGGGAGATTTGACCTCCAGTCTCTCTATATTTGTCCATATTTACCACTGTTAACGCCGCATTTGAGGTCTTGGTCTGCACATACAGTATAGGTCACTCCAAGGTCGTAGAGCGTTCACAGTGGAGTTTCCAGGCAGTCACATTGTGTAAAATAGGGATGTAAAGACACACTCAACTCACGATACGATACACGATTATTTACTCAGGATACAATTTCATCATGATTTTTTTTTTAACAAAATGGGCTCCAGACACATTCACTACTATGATCCTTTATTTGTAAGAACTATGAAAAATACCATTACAGACTGAAATGGTATTGTGTACCCCATGAACAGAATACCTCCCTAAACAGCCCCTCTTCTTCCGCCTCTCCCACCACACACACATACCCACACACAAAATTAAGAAAAAAAATGCAGGATTTCTGCAATAACTTCAGTGCAATTAAAAATGAACTGAAGAAAATCTGTTAATTCAACAACTGTGCAGTATTTAATAATAAGATGTCATGCAACTTGCACCTTATTTTACATACTACTACTGACTGCACTTTAGGTTTTTCTTTCTGTGTATATTTTTCTATATACTTTGTACAAGAGTATTTTTATAGAATGCTGTTCTGTTTTCTTAAAACTAATACTGCCAACAAAGAGACCCTAAAACTGGTTTTCATTGTTTCTGCAACAGTGACAACAAAGAACTATTCTATTTTATTCTAGTTAGCACTTAACACTTCACCATCTACTGTGAAAAGGTAAAATGGAAAGTCTACCAATGTCAAAAAACAAATTACGTTTTCACTCTGGCCAACTTTCTAAACTTCCTCTTTGTCTAAATAATGGTATTGACCCAAACAAGCCTTTGTAAGGTGATAGCGACCTTCCCGTTAACATTACCGTTAACCCTCTGTGCTTTGTGTTCCTCCTCACACAGAGAAGGATAGCGTGATGCTAAGTAATCCCGCATTTTTGTCGGCTTCGCTAGAAAATGCAATTTAAGCTATTCTAAGGACACAACACGTATTAAAGGATTAAGGCTTAAAACCAGGTTGGGAGCCAAGAGTGGAGACTTACAATAGAAAAGGACAAACCTCATTCGTTTGGAATATCGGATCACCTTGCCGGAGTACAATCCATATTCTTGTATTTCACAGATGTGAGCTGCATAGAAAAATGGCATTACTAAAAAAGACACATTTTTTTTCCTATTATTTAACAATGGGAGAAGCAAGGGGCTTAAATCCATGTCCATTAACTTTACCTTCACAGCTAAGCCTGCATTTTAATAATAATCCGTGAGATGTCTGTGTTTCACTTCTATCTTTTATTCGCACTTTGAAATGAGGTGAAACACGACTTTTTCCTAACACATTACTGAAAGTAAAATTCCATTATACAGTCTGCTTGTATGTTTTTGTGTAAATGAAACTTTACATGATTTTTTTTAAATAGTTGAATACAATGGTATCAAAGCATTAAATAGAAATGAATGTTTATTGCAGGTCCCTTGCCCTTTTGACGATCCTCACGGCCATGATAGAGAAAACAGACAATTCCTGCAACAGTAGCCTTTGCATTTTGTAAACTCATCACAGACGGCAACAAAGGAGTAAAAGTTCCTCTCAACCAATAAAACCACAAGGCTGCTTTAAATCATGATTATTCTCAACAGTTCTCACAGGCTGGGAGCAATAGTGAGAATAAGACGCTGCCTCTGAGGCCAATCTTTGAATAATTCAGGAGTCAACTGTGCTTTCAGAATCCAGTTTCTTTTATGGTGTCTGCAGTCTCGGTTACCAGATGACTAAACAGTGGCCATGTCAGCAAGGACACCTGACACACCCTCTGTTTGCCTCTTTCCACGATGCTTGACTATTGTGGAGATAACTGCTATTCTTCTGTTGATCACGGGACCAGTGGAGTGTGTTATCAGCGGCGAAATGACAGCCTGACAGTGATGAAGGAATGACATGTAACAGAGATGTACGTGTGCATCATTGTGCGGTCCCTGCCGTCAGTCCAGCTGTTCTCTGCTTTTTATTATTTGGAGATTTATGAGCCGATGGAGACAAAACTATCTTTGGCATCTTCTGTAATGAACACATTTGCCTTGATATGGCAGCAAACATTTGATCTGTGGCATGGCTGTGTAAACAGTTGTATCCTGTTCGTGAAGTATTTGATAAATGTCTTCTACCGTCAATCTCCACCCCTTAAACAAACCACATTTCCCCCCTGCTGCCTGCAGCCGTGTGTTTAGGCAAACTAACAACCTCTTCTCTGAAAATATTTTAATGAAAGTTGCATGACCTGAACCACGCCTCCGTAATGTAAACCCATGTTAACATGTTCTAGAAGTGACATATTTGGACTTCTATAGGAAAGACATGGTTAAGTGAGTCATCAAATTATATGAATAAATATTGATTTATTAGGGAATCTCCATGTTGTGAGAACAGGCAGTGAACAGGTGGTGCATGACAAGTGTCCCGCCTCTTCAGAGCCGGCATGCAAATAGTGCCTCAGCAGATATCATTTTACACTTGCTCCTTTGACTGGAGAGGAACAGTCACCAGATCACAGCTGCTCCTACAATGAAACCAGACAGCATGCTGCCATCACCCGTGACGCATTGACACTTCATTCAGTAGGATCAGTCGACCCCTGAGTGCCGCAGAGATGCCCATCGCAGAGCTTCTGGGAGTCCAGTTCGACATGCAGCTGCTGTTGAAGCTGAGCATCTCGGCAGCTGTGGTGTTGTTCGCCACATGGATCTACAAGTTCTACAACCCCGGGGACGAAAAGAAAACTCCACCTTGTGCCAAAAATGACAAAAAACCTGCAGGTGCATCGTGCCAAAACTGCAAGACAACACTTTGTCCTGAAAAGTCACCTCATCGTGACACAGAAGATCAGAGCAAGGGACCTCAACCATTTCACACAAACGTATCTGCGGGTGACCTGCCACCTGACAACGTTGACGAAACATCATTGAAAACTGACTCACGTCAAAGAAACGATGCGTTGACTCTGCCTTCCGAAGAAAATGTGAGCACAGACGGAGAAATGCTCATGTACCAGAGGCAGACAGATGTTCACGTCAGTCATGTCTTTGATGGATCTGCTTTGAACATTCCTGACACAGGAGCCAATGGAACGCCCAGGTCATCAGGACGTCGATCACCTTGTTTTCTGCAGAAGCTGGACGGCGTGGTTGGTGTGGGCAGGGAGTTGAGGCAGGACCTGGAGCACCACGGTACCCATTCCAGCTTTCTCTCCAAGGCAGAGATTACAGTTGAAGATGCCAATTTGGTGCTAGAAGAGACTGGAGATCTGATTGTGCAAGGGAAGATATATGATTACTATGTTGAGTCATCATCTCACACTACTACAGATTCAAAGGCTGTTGTGGGTCAGTATGAGAGAAACTCTGAGCCGCAGCCAGTTGGAAGCTGTGGCAGCAGTCCAACAGAGTCGACTTCTTCTCTCAGCCCTATCATTATGAGGGATCTGGTTTTATCACAAAGCACAGCCAAAGATCTCTCCTCACTAGGATGTCACGAGCCGAGGCACCCTGCAAGGCCTGCACTCCTACGCAAGGAGAGCTATCTGTCTGCTGCAGAGCAGTGTGAGCTTCCCATCCCCTTTGTAAATTCAACAGCCTCAGCTCCAATAATTCACTCTCTGGCCTCGGAGAGCAATGAGCCACTCTCTATTCAGCCTCTGATCACTTCCTCCACTGACAGCAAAGGCCCTGATGTGAGCCAGCAGGCTGATCTGGAGACTGTTGCAGGGGCTCCATTTTTACACCTACCTATAAAAACCGTTGATGGCACAGATCTGGAACACCTGAGGAGTAAGCTGGATCTTGGAAACTGTTTGGAGATATTGCACCTGGCCAAAAAACGAGGGCAGACCACTGTGCAGCAGGCAGCTCTGCAGGTCATGTCGGACAACTACCTCCAGGTGCTCAGGGACCCCAACATTTACGGGCAACTAATGGCCGGTGAGCGGCAACAGATCCAGAGACTGAGAGCAAAGGGAAGGAAATTCATCATGGTGGCAGATATGGACCCTCAAGACTGGACGAGAAACATAGGGTGGGCTGCAGAGACAGAGCAGAGGAGGACGTCCAGCGCTGTGTACTATTATGATGACTACAATGACTGCTGGCAAACGCTGTGTCAGATCCCAGAGGAGGTCATCTCTAAAGCTTGTGCCATGTGCACAATGGACAACTATTTATATGTGGCAGTGGGCTGCCAGGGCGCAGACAGAGAAATGACACCCTCAAAGCGAGTGTTTTGTTACAATCCTTTGACATCCATTTGGAAGGAGATCAGCCCCATGAATAAAGCCAGACCACGCTGCAAACTGGCAGCGGTGGATGGCTACATCTACGCCATCGGAGGGGAATGCCTTTCATCGGTCGAACGCTACGACCCACGACTGGACAGATGGACATTTGTGGCTCCACTGCCCAATGATGCATTCGCTGTGGCACATCACGTCACCGCGTGCCACGGAGACATCTTTGTTTCCGGGGGGACTCTCAAATGTAAGCTCTTGCGCTACAGCCCCAAAACTAACACCTGGAGGCGGAGTCTGCTGGTGGGTGGCAGAGACAGAGCCACGGATATGGTTGCTGTGGGGCCCTTTCTGTACCGCTTTGATGTGAACCCGCTGCTGGGCGTCAGTGTGTACCGCTATCACACAGTGGCTCGACTGTGGTACGAGTGCAGCTCCAAACGCCTCCTGCACTGCCCTGTGTTTCAGTGCGTCACGATGGATGAGACAATCTACTGTGTCAACCGCCACTTCACCATGAAGTTTGACGCTGATGAGATCTCCCCTTCTTTCAAAGATGAGGATTTGAGTGTCCTGTCTGCAGCCAAGGGCATACTTTTCCCCTTTGTCCTCACACTTCCTGATAAGACGCTCCGACAGACCAGCGTGTGACAAGAATTCAGTTTTCTGTTGATTACAAGATCAGGGAATGATGGAGCGTCTGTACAGAAGCCTGCTTTACATCAATTTTCTGGTGTTACTGTGTATTCAACGGCCAGTGTTTCTTCAGTTATGACCTGCTGTAGAATTCACCCGCTCAGTTCGTACACAGACTTTGTGTAATTCAGCACACAGCTTGGGTGAAGTGCTGCTAGTTCAGCTTCTGTAATTCGTCCCTCTTTCTTCCTGCCACTGACTTCGGTTGCGTCTTTTCTAACCTTTCTCTGCAGCAGGAACCATTTTTAAACACGCTGCAGAGTAAATGAGTTCATTCTACACCAACGTGTTTCAGACAGTGGGCAACATACACGTAATTTATCACTGTGCAATATTTTGGCAAATATGTTTTCTAACAACGTCATTATCTACAGTTGCTCTTTAAACATGACAGGCTGTAAATGGGTGTGTCATACAATATTAATACAAGAGGCTGCACCAGAAAGCAAGTTAGACTTTAGATGGCTCTGCTCTTCGGCCTGTTATTCTATCAGTTAATCATTTGAGTTTTATCTTCACAGCATTGTTTACTCAAAGCTGGTGGTAGCTACAAGTACCAGTCAGAGTACAAATAAATGCCTCTGACCTCCGACCTGTTAGCCAACTATTTAAGACAAGAATAGAGTTTCCTAAAAATCATGATTTCTAAAAGAACCTCAAAAACAACCAGAATTGCATAGGAAATAAGAGAAACAACAATTGTTTGAAAATTATAAATGGAATTCAAAACTGTAAAAGTGAAAGAGCAAGAGTTGGAGAGTTCATGGTAATTTTCTATAATTGTATTTAAGAGTTGATTGTGGGTGGACTAAAATAATAAAAAAAAATAAAACATCATCAAGTGTAAGAGCAACTAAATAAAGAAACAATTCATTTATTAATTAATTATTTTTATTTTTTTTTTTTAAAATGCGTACGCTTAGGGGTGGTAGCTGCAAGAAAAATGTGCATTTGTTTCTTTGCATATTAATCTTTACTTTAAAAACTCGAAAAATATACTGTATATTTAGATATTAATTTTATCTAAAAGAAAATGCATTTTAGTTAAAGAAAATCGAAGTTCTGACACACTAGCGATTTCTCAGACACTGACATGCTGCTATAGCACCACCAAGTGGTCCTTAGGGTAAGCACAACAGTGCTTTGGTTGAGACTTTTCCTCTAACGCAGAGGTGTCACGTGACTTGCATGCGTCAGCAGCACAGTAAAAGTGACGAGTCAAGCGGAGGGGCTTCGGGCTGGTCATGAAGGCAGCAGGAGGCAGAAAGAGAAGCAGACGCACATGGTTGACCGTCAAACATAAGTGTCTTTGATTCTCCCTAATTAAACACTTTGATTCTCCGTAATTAAACACCTAATGGGATGGGACACTGCTTCCACTAACTGGTGTGTTCTGGTCGGCCCCAGAGCTCAGTACAGCTCTGGCTTCAACACCTCACCTGCAGACTGGGGCCACAGAATTCTGATGCTTTTCAGTCATTGCTGTACATTATAAAATGTTAAAAGAAAAAAAAAAGCAAATAAAATTACTGTCACTGTCTCATATTTACTTGTTTGTTTGTTTTTTCTTTCATCAACAGATCCAGTTCTTCTAATCAGGGCATATTTTTGCGTGACTTTTTCTCTCTGTAGTTTTCACACAGAGTAATACTTGACAGTTTGTGCGTCTGCGTGTCAGAGTTTGCAGTGAGAACAAATTTGCATGTAATTATCCCCGGGAAGAGTAAACATAATTTACAGGCCCTCCTCACTTCTCAGTATTGCACGCACAAACACAGACATGCACACACACAGAAACATATTTAAAATTAAACATGACAAACTGACTCACGACACAAAACAGCAAATCTCCATTTTTCTCACAGCAACATAATGAGAATCACATTTAAAAATTTTAAGCTCCTTGATTTCCCCAATGGTTCGCATTATTGAATCTCCTACACAGGTGACTAATAAGAGAAGAAGAGGAAGCACTAAGCAGTGCCATTCAGAGCAGAGCGTCTAAATTTGCAAGTGGCATGCAAAGCAATTTGAGAGCCACACGTCTAAATTCGCAGTGACGGCTAAAGTGGTCGGACACAAACGTCAGGAACTTGTAGCACTGAGCGCTGTCTCAGGTTCAAGTCCTTGTTGTTGTGATTAGGCGAGTAGAAGTGGCTGGAGAGCATCTTTGAAGCCCTGGCGAAGCGCGTCTGGCAGAAGGCACTGTGTGGGTGGCTCTGATAGGTTGACCTGTAGAGGGTCACTGATGGTAGGTGTGAATGTTTGTTCTCTGCACGGTTCTTTTTGGACTGCAGCAAACTCCCTGGAAAAGACGAAAATAACCACTTGTCATTTCACAGAAGCATCTCAGCGTCCGCATGTGTATGTGGAGACTTCTACTTCCACGTCAGACGCCAGGCTTGCGTTCGAGCAGCAGCACTGAGTCATCTTTAAAGTGAGTGTGATTTATATGTCATTGTTGAACAGCACACAACGAAATGTGTCCACTGCATTTAACCACCACAGCTAAAGCTAAGCGTCATGCTCAGTGCACTTCCTCTGGCCCACTTCCTTAACCACTGTGCTGCCACTGCCTAGGAATGCTAACTTATCCAAATCATGATGAATCGTGTTTAATTTGAACTCTTTTATATTCATAAATGTCATGTTAGAGTAGCTGGTGCTGCTACTGGAATTGCTCCTGTGGCTGGTTTTGAACATAAGTGTTTTGTAAGTGATGTGTTTTGTCTGCTCCTCTGGAAAGTGTGGTTTCTGTGCACCACAGAAACCTTCACAGTTATTTCACTGCTACTTTCTACCTTCAAGCACTGCTAGCCTGGCACTTCAGAGCGCTGCCTTACCAGAAATTGGCCGATCAGATCCCCCCGTCTGTTCCAGTGTGGGCACAATATCGGTGTGCTTTGTCCCGTAGCTCGCTCCGTACTGTGTGACCATGTAATCAGTGGACGGTTTGCAGTAATGGCCAAAAAGCTCTTTGGATGGAAGCCCCTGAAAAACAATAGACATAATCTCTTCCCATAGGCTGGGTGGACTGGCCTTCAGTGGATTAAGATACTGAGGTCATGATCATTATTTGGTAATGATCTCTGAAAAGCTCACCATGTGACAGCAGCACAATGGCCTAATTAGACTGCAAACGCCCCCTGGGATTGATGACTTGACACATTTTTTTGCACAAATGCTGAGTCTGACCATAAACTGGCCTCCGTGGTATTTTTCACATGCTTTTATCTTGGCTCTCAATTTGACGCAGAACTGGCCACAATCTGGAGACCAAAGCCCTGACTTGCAGTGTTGTGACAAGCATTGAATGGGTGTTAATGCCATGAAAGAGCAGTTAAAGGCTGACCTCAGCTCTCAGCAGGGCATATCCTCTCTCAGAGACGTCTGGCCTGAAGTCCCAGTGGGGCCGGTAGTCCTCGCGATTGGTGCTCTCACATGTCTTTGGCTCCCGAGTGAACTGTATAAGACAGCATAAACACAGAGGAGTGAGGAGAAGAGGAGGGAGATATAAAGGGCCCTGAGCAATGAGCCCAGTCCAGGGATCAGCACAGCCCACACTTCTCTATTGATTCACAGTTGTACAGTATTTTCAACTCATTCCTTCTGCCTGATCCTGAACCAACAGCCCGTGGCCGAACCTTGCATTGATGCAATTAGTCTCCAGCTGAAACCTTACCAGTCAGTGCTGACGTAGCTGAATCCAGGCTGCCTAATCACTTAGCTATAGATTTGACTACCAGCCGAGGCGCTACAAAACCTCTGGAAGACTGCCACTGGCTTTGTTTTCAGCCAGCGCTATAAAAAGTAACACATGATTAACTGATAATTCTAAACATCCTGTGACAATTGTTGTCCAACTACAATGTTTTGTCCAGGCCTAAGTCGTTGATTTTCATTTGGTCAGTGCACTATTATTCACAAACAGCTGGGTTGCAGGGGAAGATGGGGGTTGGGTCAGTTTAACATCTCACCCATTAATGGAACGCTTCAGTGATTAAAACAGAACAAAGTCCTGTCAGTGTCCAGCACAGGTGGGGAGTTGAAACAGCAATCCATGCTATTTTTTAATTATTTTTAAAAGATGTAATAAATCAAAAAACAACACCTACCTCCAGTCGTTCCTCGGACCAGTTCCCTAACAGCACCTTGTTAGAAAACTTCTGCTCTATTTTCCATCCAGTTTGGGCCCATTTGCTTCGCTCCATCCTTCTCTCTCTCTCTCTTTCTTTTTTTTTACACTGCTCTGTTAAATAACGTCACCAGGTGAGGATGAAGACCTGTTACAGGATGCTTCACTTGTCAAACAGATCACAACCGAGAACATTCATCTGGTCACATAATGAAACAGGCAGTGAAGGCGAAATAGTAGAGCTCTGTTGCCATGGATACAGCAAACACTGAGCAGACAGCTCAATACAATGCGGGCCAAGTTGTGAAGTCTCATATCTGTGTTCACAAGAGTTGCATTCCTTTTAAGCTAGGGCACGACATTTAGCTTAAAATGTGAAAGTCTACAGTGTTTAAAGTGCTGCTGGAAATTGCTTCCAGTCTCTCTTTTTTTTTTTTTTACTTCAGGCTGCTATTTATTGTGGAATAAAAACAGGTTTTGTTTTTTTGATATTCACCAGGTAGTTTGTCTTCTGTGAACAATATAGTTTTCAGAAAATAGGAGCTAGGCCAAAGGAGGAGAGCCTTGTTTACCTGTAACAGAATTTGGAAAGTGTGGACAGTGGACCATATTGACCGGCTGATTTTCATTGTGATTGTATACAGTCAACAGATTAACCACGACACACCGTCCAGGGGTTTCTTTATATCTTAACACACACATTGTCATTGTCTCTCGTTCCTTTGTTCTGTATACAGAATACTCTGCGTTTGTGGTGATATACAGTTACATTCAATAAAATATTCATGGACACTGGGAAGGAAGACATAACTCCTTGTCAGAGTCCTTACACTCGGGCATCTCCTCACTCTCCCGCCCTGCAGGTTCACATAAATTGCTCTTGTACTGCATCCTGGAACGCAGTTGCAGTCGCACCTTGATGAAACACGACGGCAATGTCCGTCATTATTACAAAAGAACTAAAATTTAATGTTGTTTTTTTTTTGTTCTGGGCGACAGCTTCAGCATAGAGATGTCAGCGTATTTACACATGCTGACCAAACAACACATAAGGAGAGTTTTGGGGGCCGCAAATAGGTGGCTTGTGGGCCAGATGATGATCGTGGGCCAGTGGTTTATTGGATGTCTGTCTGCTCTGTTATATTAGATCAAAGTCCATGAACGGTGTTAAGTATTATTTTGTATTCTGGCAAAGCTTATATGTTGTTTTCTGCAAAACGACACTCACTTAAAGTATCAACATTATCTGTGAAAGAAGGTCAAACCTCAGATTCTAACTTAGTTCAACTGGACATGGGAGCCACACCTAAACTTAGCTTCAGCTCATCAGGGACACGGTTGCACAGCAGCATATCCTGGCACACAGACCAGTGTTTCCACCCAGGTTTTGCAGGAGAAAAGTAGCATGCAGCTAGCAAACAATATGGGCACAGTGTGATTTTGCTGCTATAAGGGCAGGTTGAAATCTGCCATCTGCAGGACTGGGTGGACGAGGAGCGAGCGCAGGGGAATGGCAGATGTCCGTGTTCAGTCATTGCCAACTTTGGCACAAGGCCTCTGCCAGATTATCCCTCAGTGTTGTCCCCTCAGACTGCCACTCTGCAGGAGTTCACGCTGAACTCTGGTACAAACCGCAACAGGAAGTGACACATTGTTGCCTACAATAATCCAGCCAGGCAGGGTACCTATTCTCAGGGGCTAATCGGTACCTTAAGGGGGTGAGAAGGAAAAATGTTGAGGGTATGAGTGTCTCAGTAAATACCGGATAAGTTGTGGTTTTTGCAAAGAAACCAGCTTGACAGAAGTATTAGAGATCTAGTTCTGAGCTGTAACAATTAAATATGGATTCAGCGACTCAAACTGAACCACCTTGCTTTGTATTGGACGGTTGCTGGTTAAAATCCTATTACTGATGTGTTGAGCAAGCACAAAACAATTCCCCTCTAAATATTATTTTCACTAGTTAATAATAGATTTAACCACGGTGTCAAATGTGGTTAAGTGGTTATCACTCGCCTGCTGGTTCTGAATCGACTTTGCAGGTTTTCTCAATGTGGTGTGCGTTTCCCCCAGTAATCCAACTTCTTACTGCACTCCGAAAATAGCAGATTAATAATTGGGTTAACTGCTCACTCTGAGGTGTGAACATGAGCATGAATCGTTTTTGTGTAGCCCAGGCGTGGACTGCTGGGTTTAGTCACTGTCACTGTTTTTCCATTTACAATGTCAGACAAAGTCACAGCCTTTTTCTACTGTGTCTGACAAACAACTACAGCGCTGTGGTTCTTTTATTCTTTTTACATCCTCCGTTCAGCAGAAACACTATTCTGTTCGCAATGGAATAAATCAATATTATTCATTAAAATGATAGCTAATTAAAATAGCTATAAAACAGATACAAACACACACCCAGGAGACGATCATTTCATATTCCATACCTACTGTAAACACCACCATTCTGTCTACAATGAAGCCATGAACCATGTGCANCACCCCCCTATATTTGCAACCGTAGAAGGAATGTCTGAATTCATCAGCTCAGGGTACACTAGTCCAATTACCAGAAGTGAGAGAGCGGCAACAAGAAACATAAGCCAATTATTAAAATTGCTGAGCCCATGTCCATGGTGTTGCGGCTCCACTCAGCTCAAGGTAAGTCATTAGGAGAAAAAGGTCTCAGCCTTGTGTTTTCAGCCTCTTCCCAGCCCTCTCACATCAAGCTGTAAGGTATTGTCCTTGGTCGGACTGTTGGCTTGGTGAATCATTATATTCATCAACATGTTTTTATTGGTTTGTAGCTGGATTTAATTACCACATGTTTCATGTAGAGAGCAATATAATGGTCAAAACAACCTTCTTAATTAACTACTCATTACCATGGTGCGTATTCAGATTGATTTTTCCAAGGCCATGTTCTTATAGGTATCTGCTTAAAACTGTATTCTACTCAGAGTGAAATGCTCAGTACTATAAAAGGAGACACTGTGAATTGAAACCAGAGAATACCTATATCTGAACTTTCACTGCTGATCTGTAGATGGCAGTGATAGCTTGATTATAAATGAACAGTGACTTTAAAAAAAAAAAGAAAAAAAAGGCTCCATTTACATTTTTCAGCCTGGTTCCATCTGTAGCTGGATGCAGTTCAGAGCTTTAGAAGTTTGTTTACTTCCTGCAAACCAAGCAATTCATTTTGTAATTTTCACTACGCTGGGAACGCTAAGAAATGAACTTCAGGTGCCACGTGCATGTAAATATGCACATCTAGTTTGATCACCAAAATAAGAGCAGCGTCTGGAGTCGCGTTGTCTGAGAGTTTTTAGCAGTCCACCAGAGCCTCTCCACCGCCCCCTAAGTAGCTGAGCCTGCAGCACAAAGCAGCCATTGTGAGGCTGCTCTTTAAACTCGCCCGGTTGCTGAAAAAGCTCTGCATTCAGCCGTACCAAGTAGAAATCATGGTGCCAGGGCCAAAAATCACAGACTGGAATCTTGTTTGAGGCCTGTGGATTCATAGGACTTGTTTAGGGAGGCATTCATGCACTTTCCAATTTGTCACCCTGACAAGCTTCTAAGGGGCTGACCTATTTTCCAAATTGCACACAGAGATGTGTCCTGCTTTGGAAATGCTGTTAATACAACAAATATGGAGCAAACCAGTGATGTTGCTCTGCTCATTGGAGACCGCTGCAAATGAAGGCCCATGCATCAGCAGAAACGCGCACAATCAGTGTGACAAAAACTTGGCCCCGGCTTGCGAACCGAAGGCCACGTTTGCTTAAATTTATAATGTATGCTGGCAGGCTGCAGTGAGGCACCTACACTTGTGAATCACAACGCTGCAGGCTCTTTAGCGCCGGGATATTGAATCAAAGCAGATCTGTGACGATAAGCTTTGAGCTGCGAAGTTCCTGCGTGATAAACATCTCCTTAAACCAAATTCAACTTGTGTTTCCGACTCTTAGTATAATCTGTTATGGCAGCTCGTTTTTAACAAGTTCTTCTTTTGTGCCACTGCTAATGTGTTATATCAAAAGATGTCATTGTTTTATTGCTGTTAGTTTTAGGTCATAAAACCTGACTCAGCATAACACAGATTCAGTTCTGATTTTTATTTAAAATCTTATATGTTCAGTTATTTTTCCCTCATTGTCTTTGAGGTCACAGATTCACCAGCAGAGACACTACCCTCTGTTTGCAGTTTCCTTTTTTTGCAAGGTGAACAGGACTTTTAAGGAAATGAGTTTGCCAGTGAAAAGCATGAAACATTAAAAACACAAAACCCAAAAAAGACTAAACTAAACTACAAAGTTTTTTTTTCTGTGTGCTGCTGTATTATCAAGCAGTATTGACTCTGTTCTTACTGTGTTGTACTTTTGTAAATTACTTTAACACATCTTTGCTTAATCTTTTAACGAATTGTGTTCTAACTGTAACACTAAAAATATGTATTTATTTTCTGCCAACAGACTGTCTCTGCTGCTGCGACCAGCATATCTCACCGTGGTCGGACCAATAAAGGTATTATCATAACTATTATTTCTCTTATTACAAGTATTTCCTACTTTCTGGTTGCAGTGTAAAAAGAATACATAGTTGAAAATGAAGGTGAAAGTTCAAATTAGTGATTCATGTTTCAAAATGTTGCGTATATACACAAGCTATATTGGGTTAATTGAAATATTAATTTTTTTTAGAATTATTGACACGTTAAAATACAACACTTATATTGATCCTAAAAATGTTTTATTTATGTTTGAAGTTCACCATTTACTCCACGTGCTTTATTCCTGCCGCATGTGACTCCGCCACCAGGTGCTGCTCAATCCTACACGATGTTTGAACACAAACAAACGTGACCCAACTAAAGTGAAGGTAAAGCGCTAATAATGAAATTTAAATTGGTTGTTTGTTCACGCAGCCCGTGTCTTCGCTGTATTTGTCAGGTTCTGTTTGTTGCTCTGCGTGGCCGCTTTGTCTGTGCGCTTATTTGTTTTGCCTAATTAAGTAGGAGGCAGGACTGCGGATTAATTGCCCATTGTGAGCAACTAAGATAGGCTGCCCCATGTGGTACCTTTACACGATAATAATTTTGAAGTTGATTTGATTCAATATTCAAGCTCAGTGTGTGTCTGTGTGCGTGATTGCAACACCACTGTTGTTGTTCTAACGGGGTGAATCTGGAGTCAGGGAAGTGTGTGTAGTTTAAAGGGACTTGGCCATCCACCTGGGACTCTGTGGGGGAGGAGGGAGAGGGGGTGATGGGGAGGGCACAGACTGGTAACCGCCGCAGCAGACACATGGAGGGGTTGGGACCCAGCGGCAGCCACTCGGGGCAGACGGGCACTGGGGATAAATATTCATCCGCACTTATCACATCAATCAGGATTAAAGCCCTTAAAAGCCTCCCCTCTAAATTCACGCAGGTCCTTTCACTAGTGGAGGCAGCAGCAGCAGCAGCAGCAGCAGCAGCAGCAGCAGTAGTAGTAGTAGCAACAGTAACAGTAGTGAGTCCGGGGCAGAGGCTCCGTAATAAAAGGCAGCTCCACTCAGCAGCACAGCAGCAGAGCCAGAGCCAGGACCAGGACGTACAGCACACCACACCACACCAGACCAGGCAGCGTCTCTTGTCGACTTCATACGTCTCCGCTCCACAGGCTGTGTGTGACAGACGTCATGAGTGATCGCTCCCACATTTGCACGTCCTGCTCGCATGTCAACCACCATGTCGGAGCTCTCTGAAGTCACAAGTTTGGGCTCTGCTGCGTTCTCGGCAGCGGACTGACTCCGGGCTGCACGTGAGCGTCCGTGTGCATGCGGCTAACGCTGCAGGAGCGCAGATCGTGGGTGTTTTGTGCAGACGGCTCGGTTGTGGTTGTGTGTGTGTGTCTCTGTCTGCACGTTAACACACTGTCAACATTACGAGGCCACTTTCTCGACTGCTGAGCCCGTGTGAGCGCTCTCACCCCCCGACATGGAGCTGAAGAGTGCGTGTCGCGTCTTCCTCTTCCCGGTTCAGATGTTGTATTACGTCGTCAGAGCAAGTTTGTTTTCGCTGTTACCCAGCAGAAAGAAGGACCTGAGCAGGGAGGTGGTGTTGATCACCGGCGGGGGACGAGGCATAGGGCGTCATCTGGCCAAAGAGTTTGCCAAGCAGGGAGCCAGAAAGGTAACCGTCTCTCACTCCACACTTTCACTTGTTACACGAGCTCAGCGCCGACAAAAGTCAACAGTGCAGCTCATTTCTGCTGAGCATGTTTATTTCATTCGATCTGTAGCTTTAGTTCATCTCCACCTCAGCGCCCAACTCCCCCCACCCTCAGGTGCGGTGGTGACCCCCGTTTCTCCTTTGTGTATTTTGTGTTTTTTTACAACCCATATAGCATGAATTCACTGACCTCAAGCAGTTCAGACAGATCCAGTGGGACTGGAGACACAGCCCTCAGAGCTGGCTCATGCATTGCACAACAGCATGGGTCAAACAGAGGGCAGGTGTAGATAAAGTCGTATAACTGTGATAAAGGAGCAGCAGCCCAGCACTTCATTTCACTGCACTGACATTTATTGTGTCAGTAAAGTGTGTGTGTGTGTGTGTGTGTAGTTAAATGCAGAACTTGAAAAGACTAGAAAAACATCCTGGGAAACATGACATGACCTCAGGGCACATGGTTGTAGAGTGGGAAGTGCTCCAGCCTTACCCCAAGAACATCAACAGTTCAATGCTGGGTGGTGACTGAAAATCCACTTTGACTATTCCTATTCCCTCTGACAGACCAAACACATGACTGTTCTCTCTTAACTGCACACAGGTGTGAATGCTAGTGTGAATAGATGTTTATGTCCATATGTGGCCCAGTGGTGGACTAGAGAACTGCCCAGTATGCACAGCACCCTCTCTAACTTTGTCTTAAAGTTGATCAGCAGTGTGACATCAAGAACCTGTTACTGTTAACAGTGCTTCATCAGAATTCCTGTCAAAAGCCTGACGTTGCATGAAATTAAGAGTGCATGCAAATGTTGAAAAATAAAATAGCTTCTAATAGGGATTTGCACTGCACTGCCAACATGTCCATGACTCAGGCAGTGACACTGGACTGCTAACGAAGCTCACTCGGAGTCCAAGGGTCAAACAGTGAAATTGTGGTGAGTCACTGTTATCTACACGTGTTACTCCTACAGTTGCCTATGTTTTTGATATTAGTCATTGATTTAACAATCAGTGCTTCGTGTGAAGAAGGCTGAGCTGCAGCGGCCTTAAAAACAGAAACAAAACTTAGATGTGGAACTCCTGCCCAGTCTAGCCATGCCCCACCTCCCCAACACATTTACCATCCATGACAAGAAGTCAACACTGGCGACAGGTCATGCTACCTCAGTGTTAGCCACCTGTACTCTTAAGACACTTTTAACGCAGAGCATCTCTGTTTTTGATCGAATCTGAATTGTTTTCATCAGATATGATGGAAAAAAACAGGTAGTAATTCACCTCCCCCTGACCCCTGCTGGAAGCTGCAGGTTGTAATTACGGGTTTACGCCTGACATGCACGTCACAGATGTGCAGCCAAGGTCCGATTAAAATGTCTTGAAAAAGGTGCCGGGAGCTGAATGAAACATTAACAGCCCACTCCTCTCTCTCAATGACATCTCCTGAGGGAGTGAGCAAGAAGAAACCAGTGGGTGTTTTAAAAGCTTTACTTTGCAGCTGCACAACAAAGGATGTCACCACGCTTTTCAGCACACCATTGTTGGGCATTATCAAGGTGTGAAGGCTTTGAAAACAACACCTGTGCTAATGTGTATCTGACAATTGCTCACCGCCTCAAGAGTTGCTCAAAGGAAGCAGGGCAGTAATTATGAATAGTGCTAACCCCTCTGAACTTGCGCTCACCCCAGTTGGAGCGGCTTTGTGACTGGCAGACTGAATCGCTTTTACCCTCCTGCTCAGGCTAGGTTTTCACGGTGTCAAGGAAGACTCGCCGTAGAGCTAATGAAAGGCTTCAGCAGGGGTGACAGCCAGAGACGAGCGGGGAGCTAGGTCTTCCTGTGTGTTATTAAGGGAGTATTGTAGCAGAACTGAGCTGTGAATCACTGAAATACTCAACAGCACAAGTATAACTACCAAGTTTGGAGAAATGCTGCTACAGGGCATATTTTTAAACCATGGTCACCGCCTGAACAACCAACTATGGGGGAAAAAGTTTTGCAGAAAGACCAGATTTGTATGCAGTGGTGAACATTACGTCAGCCACTCTCCACAAGGAAGATGAGTCAAACCCAGACACCATCAACAGGTTTGTGTGTGTGAGTGCATGTGTGTTGAGTGGGAGGCGGGAAGCACATCACTCCCAGCTGGGTATTGCCCCGCAGCTGACCTTGCTGTCTCTGCAGTAATTAGACAGCGGCAGGCGACTGCCTCCTGAACTCCTGCTGGCCTCTGTATGTGCTGCCTCACTGCCGGACCTTACAATGGGTGTGAAAGGGGAGGGTTGTTTTACCCACCCTCACATTCAGACCTGAAATATAGAGTGTCACTGCGACTCGTTTGCAGCTACTGGGGACAACATCATTTGTGCTTCATGACTTATGTAGCTTTACTGCATACTTCACTTCCAGCAAAAAAAAAAAAAAAGTCTGATTGAGGTTAAATCTTCCGGATCATTCCCACTCGGCAACATCGTCAACATTACAAATCCAGGGGGGTTTGACTCGTCAATTAAAGTCTGTTTTCTCTCTCATTCTCTCCACACGGCAATTTAGCCAAAGTGTGTTTGATCAGGGCATCCTGTGTGTGTGTGTGTGTAAGTGTGTGTGGTGACAGTGATAAAGCTAATGAATTAAATAACAATGTAACAGGGGAGCACAGTTTGAATGCTTACTTTTAATGAGAGTTGTCAGCTTTGTTTGGAAGGCTCAAATCCCATTAAAACCTTTCGGGTTATTTATCAAGACATGTCTGCCTTTGCTGATTACCTTAATGGGTTTGTAAATGAAGCAAACAATAATGATTAAAAAAAAAAACATTACACACAGAAAAAAAACACAAACTTGGGGGCATTTTAGAGGAAGTGCCACTTCTTATCTGATAAAGAAGTTATTCCACTCTTGAATCTTTGTTTCGCTCTGGGATTGTAAACATAAGAACAGGCAAATACAACAAGCAGATTCATTGTGCTTCATTTATGCTAAAACCAGTTTGAACAACCAGTATCACTAACTACATGATGTTTGTGCTGAGTTGAGGCTCAGATTTAGAAGAATCACATTCCTTTTTTTCAGTTGCATGCATGACAGTCCTTCTGCCTGTCAAATGCACAAGGTCACTCTGCGAACAACGCTTCTTTTGCTAAATTGCTGACTTTGGTCACGAGCAGCCGTCCAAATCGCACACTGGCATCTTCAACCCTTCAAACACGCTCTGTTTCCAGACTCCCCGACCATAAATGATGGGGCTCATCTGCCCACCAGGCCGTGTAATCTCTGAGAGAAGTTTTGTTTGAGAGACTGGGAGGCTGGCTCCTGATTCCATTACCTTTTCCTGACCCTGCAGACTGACAGATCTAATTGCCCAATCACTAACCCCCGCCGCATGTTCTCTGATCAAATGACCAGACTCTCATTCACACAGAACCTCCAAGCCTTTAATCTTCCCTCAAAACTATTTGTTTGAGAGAATATAGACTCTGTGTTCTCGTAATGAAAAGCTCTTTGCGGCCCAGAGATCCTTGGGTATCACTGCCTGGAAGATTGTCCAAAACACATAAAACACGTAAAAAAAAATTATTTGTAGACTCTGTCTTAGAGAAGTTATTGTCTTCCAACCTTGGCTAATTCCTCTTTTGTGTTCCTCAGGTGATCTTGTGGGGAAGGACAGAAAAATGCCTCAAAGAAACAACTGAAGAGATTTCTCTCTCAGGAACCGAGTGCCATTACTTTGTGTGTGACGTGGCCAATCGAGAGGAAGTTTACAAGCAAGCCAAGGTGGTTAGGGAAAAGGTAGGCCACGCTTTGAAGCTATTTTGTACTTGAAAAGTGAGAGATTTCATTTGTGCTCCTTTCACACACGGTCAAGTATTTTCCTGGGATGCATCTTTGTCTCCTCTGTAATGTACTGGCTCTGAGCCACTCTGTCTCCCATCTGGTATATAGATTACACTTCATCTAAAATATCTGTATAAGAGCAGGGAATATTTCTGACAGCTATGGAGCAGTACAACTGCATCGTCTCATGAAAGCAGATGGAAAATGCAGAGTGAATTTTCCAACATCCCCCCCCCTCCTCCTCCTCCTAACTGTTGTGCTTTTATAATCTCAGGTGGGAGATGTTACGATATTAGTGAACAACGCAGCTGTGGTCCATGGCAAAAGTCTGATGGACAGTGACGACGACGCCCTTTTAAAATCCCAACATATCAACACCTTGGGACAGTTCTGGGTGAGTTGTTTGGGACTTGAAAGCACAGGAAGCTCCGTTGTAGAAGCAGGGACTTTCCTTGACAAAGCAAAGACTTGTCATCTTCATATTTTGACTCCACGGAGAAAAGGCAACTCCAGACTCGCTTGGCATTCCACTTTATGAGGGGTTTTTTTTCCAAATACGGCTCCTATTTTGTGAGAATGTTTCTGAAAACATTCATATGAGATTTCCTCTAAATCCAAATATAAATCTGTAAAAACGATGGCTTCCGTAACAACAAATGAGTTGTTTCATTTAAGAAATTAACTGTTTTATAATGTTTAACCCATTTTAACACAGGGGTCGAATGACGTGCACAATACATCCCATGATTTCACCATCCGGCTAGTCTTGTAGTACACGGTCGATACACGAGATTAAAAAACAGACCACCAAGTCTATTGCATATTTTCCATATTAATAATTATAATATTAAAAAAACCACAAGTGTACTAATTTGGAATAATCCGAAATGGAAACCGGTGTGAAAAATACATCTACAAAAAACATTTTTTGTCATATTTAGTTGAGAATTGAATATCCATTTGTCTCATTGAATCGTTATTAATTATGATTAATCGACAATAGTAAACATACTAATAGTTTAACAGCTCTAGTAAATATGAACCAGTCCACTGTTCCCCTTAATTTGTTTATTAACAACTCAACATTCAGTCATCAGCTCTTTGTTTCTTCCTTTTTTCCTCAGACTACAAAGGCTTTTCTGCCTCGAATGCTGGAGCTGCAGCACGGTCACGTCGTCTGCATAAACTCCATACTGTCCCAGTCTCCAATTCCTGGGGCAATAGATTATTGCACCTCTAAGGCCTCGTCGCTGGCCTTCATGGAAAGCCTGACACTGGGCCTGCTGGACTGTCCTGGTGTCGGCTGCACCACGGTGCTGCCCTTCCACACTAACACAGAGATGTTCCAGGGCATGAGAGTCAGGTGAGGATCCATTTTGCCTGACAACTAGTGCAAGAGCGCACACACATACGGCAGAGAGAGTGTGCATCTGACAATGGTGCACTATACAGAGAGAGTGACGGGGATTTCATGTGTGACTGTTTGTGAGGTTTGCTAGCTTAAATAAATCAGGTTTTAGTGTTTGTTTTTCATGGACCAATCTTTAGTTTTGTTTTTAGCCATTGTTGTATTTGAGGTTTTCAGAAACAGGAAACACATTTTTTGGGGCAAATAAATAAATAAGATTTAATTGCAACAATATGTTCGACCAGATGTGTTAAAAATACTCTTTTTTTTTTTTTATAGCTTTGTTTACAGAGCATTTAGCCATGTTAACTGTATTGTAACTGTAACTTCCTGTTTTAGTTTGTGTTGTAAATTTTATGTGAAGTCCAATTAGACAAATGTGTTCTATGAATTTGCACTATAGAATTACAATTGACTTCATTTAATTTAGGTTATCAACCTCAAAAAAGTTACAATTTTAAATGGACCAAACACCAAAGGTTTAATTAAACTTAAATGGGAACACATGTTTGCAGCAAGTTTACATCTGGCTCCATGTGATTTTTTTCTTCTTTTTTTTTCACTGAAAAAAAATTCAGAAAAAAGAGACTCCAGAATTCTACTAAGACTGAATTCTCTGATGGAAACACTGAACCCCTTGTTTCGTTCTCCTGTAGGTTTCCTCAGCTTTTTCCTCCCCTCAAACCTGAAGTCGTTGCTCAAAGGACTGTTGATGCTGTCCGAGCCGACAAGGCCTTCCTGTACCTGCCCTGGATGATGCACGTCCTAGTCTTTTTAAAAAGGTAGAGTTGACAATCGCTTCCATTTAATTTCTTTATTCAATTAGTATCTTATTTATGCTAGATTTCTCAGTACTTCCATTTCTGCTCCCCCAGCTTCATGCCACAATCCGCCCTGGAGGAAATCCAAAGGTTTTCTGGGACTTATACCTGCATGAACACATTCAAAGGACGGACATGAGGCAGACATTTATGACATTTTGGAGCAACCTCTGCAGCCGAAAGGAGGGCAATATGGACCTTAGAGACAAATGGACACAGAGGACGCCCCATATTAGTCTGAAGGCAAAATGTTAAGGTGGCATTCACAAGTGGGTGGAGAATTTGTGGTGCAGGTAGAACTTGCTCATGCACCGCAGAGGAACCCCGCTTATCTTGTTTTTACACATTAGTGAATTTCCTTATAGTGAGGATGACCTAATGCCATTCTCACATCCAACGAAAAAGCCATGCATAGCTCTAGTTATTCTGGGAGTTTTTCTTGTGACAGTTTTAGTTTGTTTTTACAATTTATCTTTTTTTTTTTTTATCTGCATTTTTAAAGTTTCTTTAAAACAATGACGTAATAAAGTGGAGTTTTACCAACAAGGTGTGTTTTTGTGCATGATAATGACAGATGAAATGACTCTGTTGAATGTAAGTACCGTAATCACAGGGTAGCTGAGGAATTATTGCAATTAATCATAATTAAGATCAGTCGATTAATTGAGTATCTACATTTTAAACACAGCTGTTGGTGGAAACTGTTTTATTTATTTTGTCTTGAAAGGATGTCATCAACCTAAGGCTTTCTTTACAGGGGTTTTAACATAATCCCATTTTGGCTGACATTTTTTCATTGTCTTTTTTGCAGGATTATCATAAAAACTAAGCTTACACAACCATATGTCATTAGTGTCTCCTAATGCGCGTTTGTATTACCACATACCCAGAGGCATATTCCAGGAAAAGAGCTTTAAACCCCTAATTAAATACTAGTCTGTCGCCTTGGGAAATTTGCACAAATCCTTTTCACCAAAGAACGCAATGCAAAAAGTGTTGCAGTTTTTTTTTTGTCATATGGAAGCTGAACATGAGCCTGTACCTGTAAAAATCAACACAAGCTGATTGATGAGTCGCCTGATGTTCTGGGACATGTGCTTATTACCTTTTGTGCTTGGAGCTGGGAAGGAATACTGATGTTCCTCACACCTCCACAGTAAATCTGACGCTGCAGTCAGCAGCAGGTTTGTTCAGCTTAAGTGAGAAATTTGTAGGCATAAGAGAAAAGTGTGGGCTTTTTTTATTCAGTGTTCATGTGAGTGGTTGAGAGCATGTTCATCTCATTATGATAAATAGGCTGAAGTGCTAACTTCGCCATTTCACTGACATTTTGGTGCGTGATGAAAACTTGTTCGGCATCTGTTCAAGACGTTTAGTGGATCAGTGTTTTGTGCGTCTCTCATATAAGTGTTGATACTAACATGGTTAAAAAAGTCTATCTATTGTTTATTAATTCCACCGCTGGGAAAATGTTGTCATCTGTATAATACTGGGCCACAGTGGTAGAGTAACACCTCGAAAGGTGACCTATTCTCTTTAAGGGAAAAGCACTAACTACTTTTTCACTATTATGACTTATTGCTAATTCAGGCATGGGCAACTACGGCCAAATTATGTTATTAATTTATATTATAATTATACTTCTGCCTTTCCCTGCAATGCAATAGATTGTGTAGAAAAGGCTAAAAGCATTTTAGCCTTTAAGCATGACCTTTACATGTCATTTGTCTTATTTCACATGAACGCTATCTGCTCATGACCCATAGCCCCTGTCAAATTTTAGAACACATTGTGTCCCACGAGTCGAAAAGTTTGCCCACGCCTGTGCTAATTCGATATAAACAAAAGATTTCTATGACAACGAACACACAGCTAAATCCACATTTAGTCGATGTCACGTGGGTGTGGGATTCATAGTTCTACTTGCAACAATTTTGATTTTGCTTTTGTGATTTTTTTTTTTTTTTACGTTCCTCTGCTCTAGATTGTCACGTGGTCCAGTGATCTCTCCAAGCAACACTGATGGGTCGTGCCCTGCATCAAAATACTCAAGGTTAGTCACCCAACTGTTTTATATTTTTGATAAGAAAATGTAATGTTGCTAATGTCTTTTCTGATATCATATGTCTATGTTAGCATTTCACTATCAAGGGTTTAAAAAAAATCCAGCAGGTGATTATTGGAATAATGCTAATTGTCCTGGCCACAACACTACTAATGTAGCATAATTTCTAACAGTTAGCATAAAGATTTGCTGCTCAGCATACATAGGCTGATATAAGTAAGGTTAGCTTAGCCTAAAATCCTGTCCTTCTCCCTTTTGTCCATGGTTGTCTGTGATCCACACAACTAACTCTTGATCCATTTTTCAAACTTTATTTTTTTTTTTTTGCCCACACTGCAGTACTTTTAACTTCCAGTAATAAACACACAAGGGGATTCTGAGATCACAGATCCAGACACACAGAGAAACACCCCCCCCCACATCTGAGCACAGGCCAAAGAAAGTACACAAACCCATGAGAGTGGCTGTAAAAGCTAGAATAGTGCCTGCCCTTTGGCTGCCAGTCAAGGCTCATAAAGATTCATTTGAATCCCAGCGAACCACAAATGCCCTCCTGCGTGCTCACGATAGGGCTACACATTTTGATCAGTAGGTGTCCCACCAAGGGGGTGAGGGATGCAGGAAAAAGCTTTGCCAAGAGTGAAACTTTGCTTTTATCAGTGGCCTATTTTTCATTTCCCATGTGGGCTGTTGCAAAAGCAGAAAAAGAAAGAAACATATCAGGATGAAGAACTGGGTCAAGGAGGCCACATAGTGCAACAGGCTTTAAGAGAAGAACTAAAATGTTTGGTTATCTCATGGGGTGGGTTCAGCGCAAGGTTAGTCAAATACTGGACAAATCAAAGGGGGATGGATGAAGTTCTCCCTGTTAGTGGTCAGTGACTGGCCAGGCCGCAGGTGGAACTACGGCCGGGTCACGTGGGAGTGGGAGTTTTTTCAGCTGTGGCCACATTCCCAGGTGTCTAATTTGGATGCATGATAATTTAGGATTGTCTTGGCCCTAAAGGGGCTAATGTTAGTCAGCAAAAAAAAAAAAAAAAAAAAAGAAAACCTGTGAACTGATTCACTATCTTTGACTCTTCCTATACGTGTCTTCAAGTGTGTTTTAAATGTCTCTAGTCATCATTACTCATACCAGGGCCTTGTGAGCACGACAGAAATTTCCCCTTCTCTATACTTCAACAAAAAAGCAAGAGGTCTGAGTGTATTTTTTTCCTATATGCAGTCCAAGAATCCCCAGCTCCAGCACAGAGACTCGGAAACTCTTGGCTCCAGTGATTCATTCAATATATTCTAGGCGCCCAGATCTGGAGTCTATTTGGCTTGTTGTGGAGTGATGCTAAATGATTGTAAAACCTCAGCCAGTGCAAGATTTTGGTCTAGTTCACATTACACAGACATCTGATGACTCTCAGTTTCATGGCAGATGATTGAGTGTATCTTTAAAGCTCTTCATGACTCTCTTTTTGATTTGAGTTCTTTCAAACATGGAAAATGTTTGTCTTGTCCCATTATTATACATTGTTGACCGTGTCTGCACTAGCACACATAAAACAAGTGCCATAGGAAATACACCAACAATGTGTGCAATGGATTATGACCTGTTAAAATCAAGAATCCGTTTTCCATATGAACCACTAGGTCACAGCCCACAGCCCACGTTAAAAGAAACTGAAGCTAGGGCAACAAAAAGCAAGCGAAGTGGACTGGCACATCCACTTTCTCTTAACAACACTGTTACCCTCCTTCGCCAGTGTGCAGTGGGGTTCATCCATCACTGGGTAGGTAGTATGATAAAAAGGCTCAGCCCTAACCCACAGCATGGAGCCAGCCGTGACGCCTCAGTTGACCTGTCAAACTGCAAGAGTTATTATACACTGTGGTGTTAAAGGTCGGAGGGAGCAGCAAGCACAGAGGGTGTCAGAGCGAAAACACTCTCACATGGGCAAACACAGCTCAGTAGATAAATGTAAGGAAGTCAGCTGCAGCCCAAGAAAAGTGTCTTAAAGCATTAAACTAAAGGTTAACATGAGGTTCATGCTAGTTATGTGTGTAGTATGTAAGAACTCCTTGAAGGCAAATGTAACATAAATGAATCGATGGAATTTCAATTTAAACGATTTTGAGTGTTTTTATCCTCTTTTCCTGCAGCCATTTAGTTCATGTTTCCCACATTTGGCTAATTTAATATAGCCTAATACAAACTGTATGTAGGGGGTGGGTGGAGGTTTTGAAACAGGTCAAACATTTGGTATTTGGGCATAGGTAGAGCATCAGTGTTGAGTGTAATAATACTTTTTAATATTCTTAAATGTGTTCAAAAACATGCTGATCTGGCAACCCAATATTCCATTACAGCATTGCCGGACTTAAACCAGCTACACACCAGTCAGCTGGTGTTGTTTCTTTTCCTACTGTAGTTCAGTGTCTCACTGTCTTCACCTGTAGTTTCATTAAGTAGGTCAACAATGTCAAGAGTTTGACAGACACTGTGAGATTTGATGTGTTACGATACAAGCAGAAAGACGAGCCTCAGCACTGAGTACACTAATATTTCTCCATTTTAACGACAAAATGACATGTGATAGATGAGGAGTTTGCTAATGTGATTATTGAACAAGTGACGTGTTGTTTACCGGAAGAAGTAAAAACGCATTAAGTTGTGTTTATTTTTCAATTGAAATACGCTATTGGTGTTAAAGCTCTGCTCACATTCTGTTCAGTTGGCTGCGTGAACTATGCAGACCATTTTAATGATCTGTGCTTTTGTGCTCAGTTTTATAGATATGTTGACTGTAAGTGACAATAGAGTCGGTTGGACCACTTTTTGTTGAATACAGAAATATTTGTTTTCTTGATTGATTTAAATAGAGAAGGAAAATAAACCAGGCTGTAAGCTTTTTCCTGCTTTGTGTCCTCAGTGTGGTGTGGGTTGAGCTTACACCTGCACACCTATAGAACACTATCTTTCTTTTAATACATATTTAGTATTGTTGATAGTACTTGCTTTTGGAAAGTACATTAATGAAAATACGTGTACTTGTTTCCATTAATTCAATCAATCACCGGTGTCGTATTTGCAGCCTCCGTTACGCACTGCAAACTGAGGAGAATATCAATTCAACACGGTGATGCAGATAGACATAACTTTGCTAATTGAAATGAAATAGGCCACACATTAAAAGACTGTCAGCTTCTGGTAGAGAACCACGTTTTCAACTTCTCCAGCTCCAATACGACATTAAAAAAAAACCCTCTGGGTCGTTTACCTCCACTGTGAGACGGAGAGAGATCTTTTTCACATGTGGTTCCCAGTGTTCTGCTTTTGAACGCTGACAGTTAACAGGGAGAAAGTGGGAGGTAAGCACTGAGGGACAAACAAAGCAAAGTAAAGCCTGCTTTTCACTGCGAGCAGAAGGCAAACACTCAAAGGGGAAGGGTGTGGGAGGGTGAAACACAGTTCAAATTGCGCGGATGGGCTCAGGATATTTATAAAGCC